ACTGGTCACTACCATCGGTCAGACCATGAACAATTTCCTCCTTTTTTTTATTGGTAGTGTTCAAAAGAAACATAAATACCATAAATGTTTGAATCTTTTTTTTTTTGGTCGAAAAATGTTTGAATCTACATGCAACATTTTCTCATCTATAATATTTCCGCAATATGGTTTCTTTTTTATATTAAAAAACCACTGTATATGGTTTCTTAGACCATCATTATCCATGATACAATGTGGATATTATTAAATATAAAATTATTAAAAACACACTCTTTTTTTTTTACTTAACTTTATACCTTCTCTTTCATATTTTTACTCAATTTTTATTAATTTTATACTCTATTTAAATATAAAATTATTAAAAACACATTCTTTTTCTCTTCAAAAGTATCAACTATATCAACTATTTGATACTCTCTCTCCAAAAATACCCACTATCTCTTCTCTTTACTCAAATTTTATTAATTTTATATTTCAATATACCCCATTATTTCAACAAAAAACACTCTCTTTCTTTCTTTTACTCAAATTTTAATAATTTTATATTTAATGATACCCACATTGTATCATTGTTAATGATGCTCTTATACCATATATATAGTACTACTTTTCTTTCCTGAAATTTTGTGAATATATTATAAATTATACCATATGAGTATCAAATATAGATGTATATAGTTATAAAAAAATTACAAAAATAGTTATAATTAATCTATATCAAGTAAGTAACATTTTATTTGTTTGAAATATGTGTGAAATTCTTAATAATTTGAGTGTAAATTGTAGTCGCACTCCAAAATTTATCTACTTAAAAGTATTTTTAATCGTTTACCTAATTACTGAAAGTAAGGTTATTTAATGAAAATATATGAGTACTTATTGCTAATCCTAAACCTGCGAGGAGACCTCAAATTTCATGTTGGTTCGACTCGGTTTAATTCAATGCATACCAAAAACCGGTCGATAAACGGTTCTTTAGTCTCTTCAAGAGACAAACACGTACGTTCAATCGCAATGGGGACATCAAAGAAAACTTTAAACCATTTGTCCAATTTGTTTGCTTCCAAGAAACCATTTGTCCAATTTCTTAAACTAGCATAAAAGAGCATTAAAGCACTTGCTTAATTAATAACTAAAACTAGTAATTTCATCTTCATGAATTGTTTTGATCTTTCTAATTCTCTTCTCCACAATTCACAACTTAGACCAGCTTGTTCTTGTTTTGCTTTGGTGACCAAAAAACACACATCAATATTTCTCTCTCTCTCTCTCC